GCCGCCCTTGCCGGCGAAGCAAAGAGTCCTCCAAGCGCCTGGAAGGCCATGGCGCCGGCAGCTGCAGCAACGATCTTCATGGTCATCGGTACGGCGTGAGATGCAAAGAGCAGGCTCTTGAGTGCTTGATGCCAAACTGCTTTCCCCCGACACGAGCTGCGCAGGCACATGCTAGCATGCAAATGCGTCTTAGGTCAGCAGCTGCTGCTTCAGACTCCTGCATGCGCATCTGGGTCCACTGCCCACGGAGACGCTGGCCAGTGATTACTCTCCTCCGCAACATGCGAACCCAGAGAGCCCAATACCCCTTAATTAAGGAATATACCTTAAATTATAGGGGCCTTAATATTATGATTTCAGGTATATACCTCAATAACGGGGTATTGGCCTCCCAGACTGTCGATGCGCAGTCCTGCTTCCACTTCACGGTCCGTCATTGTCCAGAGCACCTGCAGTGAAGCCAACCCTAAACCCTAAACCCTAAACCCTAAAACCCTAAACCCTAAACCCTAAACCCTAAAACCCTAAACCCTAAACCCTAAACTTCCAGGTGAGGCTACGGGGAGGGGAGGGGAGGCCCCGGCCTCCACTGAAGCGCGTTGCCAGAGGCGGTCATGGCAAAGTCGTGCCTGAACCCGGAGACTCCAATATCCCTTAGTTAAGGAATATACCTTAAGTTATAGAAGGATCCTTAATATGATTTAAGGCATATTCCTTAATAAAGGGATATTGGAGTCTCTGGGACGTCCGAGACGAGAGCCTGAGAGACTTCGACACTTTGGGCAAGACCAAGCTTGGTATCCCTGCAGTGCCAATGCTGCGGGCAGGCTGCTGACTGCCTGCGAGCCGACGAGACAACTGCCAGTGCACGGCGGCACTGACAAGTCTGCGGAATTGTGAATTTTGTTCAGTGCCTTCGCTTTGTGGCTTGGGGGTTGGGGCCCTGGGGGAATGTACGGTCGCTGGACTGCCCTCACTGCTGACAGGCCACCTGCTTCCAACGCTGGCATGATCTGCACGAGGATATGGCTGTGTCGAAGGAAATGGTGTCCTACGAGGGGTGCACAAGCTGGAGTGTATCCGGGGTGAATACCGTTGTCACTCTGTGCAGATGCTCTGCATGTTGCCACAGCATCTACACAGTACTGTTGTAGGACTATACGTAGTCATAGAGCACACAGCGCGCTGAACTGTAGCAGCTACAAGCATTGTAAGAGCTACTATCAGGCTGGCCATACAGTAAGACACGGACAACTATACAAGAAAGATTAGAGGAATCAGCCAGAGAACCCATGCAGCACACTCTACTTTGTCATTCTCACAACTTCCCGAAAGTGACAGCGCAGTCAGCATTTCAGCTGGTCCAGTTGCAGGGAGAGATGCAGAGTCATCTGGAGAATCCTGCGAGAATGGCAAGGGTTTGGCGTGCGGATGCCAGGGCTTCTCTATAGATCTTTCGGAAACTGATGCGATGACACGAAGGCGTGAGCGCAAGCTGTGCATTGAGCACTTCAGGATTGTAGATTGCAGAAATGCTACCAAGCCTTTCCATCGATCTAGACTCTGACACGACTCTTGCTATACTGAAGGCTGGAAGAAAACAGCCACAGGACCGACTGATACTAATAACAACTATGCAGCTTGCTAATCGGATGGCAGTAGTCTGGCTCATGACGAATTAACTGTCATAGGACCACCGATCACATAAACATACTGTGGCAGCAACATGACAAGGAAAAAGTAACAGGACGAATTCCAGGTTGATTTCTCGAACTCGCCGCAGCTGCCAATGCCGACCCCGCACTGGCGTTCCGACGCCTCAATGCAGACCACCACTGCGACTTCTTGGCCATGCAGCTCTGGACAGCATTCTGCATTACCTCGGATCTGACCTGCCAACATCGAACGAACTCAGTTGTAAGGAAATGCACCCAGTGCGGTCATTCCGACAGCAAGTCGAAAGCAGAGCAAACCAGCGTGCTACCAGCTGCTACCAAGCCCTCAAAGCAGTCGTCCTCGAAAGCAATATGAAATGATCCAACTCGGTGTTGGTGTTGTTATCTAGTTGCATGCGCCGCCCTCATGGATGGTGGAGCTTATATCTAGCACTGCTCTTAAGTGGATTGCGACATCGCCAGCAAAGGAAAGGGCAAGAAAGGAGACAAGCCTACCAACTGCCAATAGATGCCAAATCTGCCATAGAAATCGCCTGGTGCTAGTCAGGTAAGTTTCCAGACCGGGCCAGGATTTGCTGTCTTGTCCAAGCCTTGGTGCATTGACAGGATGCTGACATGTACGCATTGGAACGGCGTCCATGGACCGCATGCGTTGAGGAGCATGTCGTGTGACTTGCCATTGCTGACAGGACACGTTCCACACCCAGATGCGACAACACCCACCCGACAGCACTCCCTCCACGGCGTGCCCTGCTTCCTGACGGCCATGACCCCGACAAGTTGACAGAAACCCTACAAAGCCTCAGGTGGTCCCGGGCCGCCCTGACCCTAAACCCTAAACCCCCAAGCCCTAAACCCTAAACCAAACCCCTGAACCCTAAACCCCTAAACCCTAAACCCCTGAACCCTAAGCCCTAAAGCCTAAAACCTGGGGTTTGCTTCCGTGACTTAATTCCACCCTCCCAGAGACTCCAATATTCCTTAATTAAGGAATACTCCTTAAATTATAGTAGGATCCTTAATATGATTTAGAGAATTAAGGGATATTCCTTAAATTACAGTAGGATCCTTAATATGATTTAGAGAATATTCCTTAATTAAGGAATATTCCTTAAATTATAGTGGGATCCTTAATATGATTTAGAGAATATTCCTTAATTAAAGGATCATGGGACTTAGTAAGTAGGGCTATAACCAAGGTAACTATAATTATAACCCTAATTAGGGGACTTATAACCATACTTACTAAGTCCCATGATCCTCCAAGTAATTAAGGGATATTGGAGTCTCTGGGCACCCTGCTGCTGATTCACAGGACCAGGCCTTTGGTCCCTGGAAGGGGCATACACACAGACAAACATGTTTACGCGCATAAGCCTATATATTTATACATATACTATAGATATATATATATATATATATACATACATATATTATAGATATATGTAAATATATATATACACATATTTTATAGATATATGCACATATTATTTTTTATACTTATTGATGAACTTAGTCATTGTGACAAGTAGACAAATCGTGTTGACGCTTCTGACGGCCCTAGACCCTGATCCTCAAGTCTTACTTTCTGATCTGAACTCTGTGATCATCCTCTCAAGATACAGCAGACTCCGGAGGTGTTGCGAGCTTGGCAATCAGTACAGTACAAACCCCTCATTGACAACCGCAGCCTGAATAAGGATGTTCCCGGCAAGAAGGGCAGTAGACAGAAGGTTTATTCATCCGGGGTCAATAATAAAGCGTGAGTCAACCCTGATCTCAGATCCTGGCGACCATGCTCGATGAGGGACCTGAATTCCCCAGGTGGAGGCTTGAGAGTTTTGGGGTAGGATGAGTGATGCTTCAAGATCTGCACATGTGTGGGTAGTTGTCAAAATTATGGTCCCTTTTGGGGTACCCTAAATAATAGGTGCCGTATTATAATAAGGACCCAAAAAGGGACCATAATTTTCACAACCACCCCATATAGAACCCCTTATAGTACCCTTATAGAAACCCCTATAGATCCCTTTAAGGAACCTTATAGAAACCCTATAGAGCCCTTATAGGACCCAAAAAGGGACCATAATTTTGACAACCACCCGTGACATCCCTTCCAGAACTCTTGGGACCCAAGAGGACTTGAGACACCGACGCATGCGATAGCAAGTGTCTTAGGGGTTTAAGGGTTAGGGTTTAGGGTTTAAAGGTTTAGGGTTTAGGGTTTAGGGTTTAAGGGTTTAAGGGTTTAGGGTCTAGGGTTTGCAAATGCACAAGACAAGCCCCGAATCACCAAGCTGGTGCTGCAACCGAGGATCTCGTCACTTACATCGCACTTAGCACGGCCAGGAAACCTCCTAGCCGCAGCCAGTGAAAACAAATGTTGCTCGTGTCGGCTGTAAGCACATGCCAGCATGCGAATGCGTCTGACGTCAGCAGCCGCTCCTGCAGACTCCTGCATATGAATCTGGGTCCACTTGCTGAACGGTGGCCTTTCCCTGATTGCTTCTCGGCTTTCTTCGACGCAAAAGACTGGGCCGGCTGCCTGCTAGTCACCTCCCCGAGAAAGCCGTCGATGACGGCCAAGTTCACCTCGCGCTGCCCCGCAAAAAAGGCCAGCCAACAAGTGTCTGCGAAAGGTCGGTGAGAACAGCACGAGCCAGATCTCGAACACACAGGCTGCTGCTGGCGCGCAAGGTTAGGAAAAGTCTTTGAGTAGCTGAATGGTACAGGCACTCCGAGAAACTGATCCTCGCAGTGCTGGTAGAAGACCTGAACGCTGAACTTGACAAGCAGGATCTATGGGCCGCTTTGCACCCATGTTCTCTGCTGAAAATGTCATTGGAAGATGCCTTCAGCATGCCTACCTACGCACACTAGCCATGCACTCCCTTGCTCTTAGAGCAGCTGTGCCGTTGCCAGGGCCACCGCAGCAAATCCGACCACCTCCATGCCTGCATCCGACGTCGACGTTGCACCGGCCGTTGTGCTGGTGGTTGTGCCGCAGGTCGGGACCATGCTCCAGGACAGACTGGCGTTGTTGTAATGGCTGCTGGTGTTAACCTGGGCACACATCGGACTGGCCGAGTCCGGCACGAAGTTCTGGGCACCGCCTTCAATGGAGCACACGACGTTCGTGGAAGTGACATCGCAGCTCATGCCCGCATCGGGCACGACCGTGCAAGTAAAGTTGGAGTCCTCACAACCTGCAGGAGAGGCACAGCCAAGAGAGGTGCCCTCTCTGCAAGTGAAGCCGAGACCGGTCGGCACGTCCATGAACCA